AAAAAGCGATATTCGTCGGCTCCTCGAACTAGCTGCCACGGGGCTGCCTGCATCTGAAGCGCCTCGAGCAAGATGCGGTCCGCGTCGCTCAGGCTTGGCAGCGGTGGCCCGTGATTGGCATAGTGCACCGCCAGGTGGAACTTTTCAGGGTACGAGACCTATGTGGTCCACGAGGCTAGCCGCGGTGGCGACTCCGCCGCCGGCAGCAGCGCTGCATGTGGCGTCAAGAAATCACCGTTGCGAGCGACGACGCCGACTTGAGCATGGCAGGAGGCTGCGGCGCCGCGGTCCGCACGCCAGCGCCGCTTGCCGCGCTGCTGCAGCTCGGCGCAAGGTCGCTCGGTTCGGGCGCCGCAGCCTCGGCCTCGAAGCGGCGCTTGACAGCAAAGACGTGCGAAAAGTAGTTTCGCCAAAAGTCCTCCTCAGAGATGCTGCGGAGGGGCCGGCGGCGCGTGGAGTGAGTCGCCGCGGGTCTGCGAGTGTTTGTGTAGTATGGTGTGCGGCGCAGATGCGGTCTTGCGGCCAGCGCTCTGTCTGCCCTCAATGTGCGCTGGCGTGGAGAAGTTTGTACGAATGTGGCTGCCGCAGGGAATGCGGCCCGCGCGAGCGGGGACAGAGCCGTGCTTACCGGGAAGGGACGAGGCGAGGTATTAGCTTCGTCAGACGCTCGTCGCTCTGGTACGCCGCCTCTGCGAACGGCCGGTGCTCTACCCAGTCCCACGTGAATGCTGGGTCAGAGCTTAGCACGTGCGGCACGAGGAAGTTTGCCGTCGAGTTGGAGAGCGACTTGACGGCGGCGCGAAAGTCGTCGGCGCGCGCCTTCTCCGCCTCGGTCTCCGCCTCCCACGGCGGAAGGAAGACGCTGTGCTCGCTTCCCATCTGAGTTCCTGACACGCGCAGGCGCGGAGTGCCGCCGTGGCGGCGTGTTGATGCAAACGCCGGCTGGCTGGGGGGGGGGGGGGCCGGGGGCGGGCAGGTAAGGCCCAGGTGTGGCCTAGGGCATTCAGAAGGGACCAAGAGGAGTCCAGTCTGAGCCATAGAATGTCTTTGCCCCCGAAGGTCGCGTTCAAATGCCCGGAACGGCCGTCTCAGTGGTGTCTGATGAGTGAGTGCCTCGAACTGCTCGCCGTTCTTCACCTTGAAGTCGGCCAGCTTGTCGATGGCTGCAACCATCTCCGGCGAGGCTCGCGTATGTAGCCTGGCGTTTGTGCCCCGTTTGTGCCGCGTCCCGTGTGCTGCGCGCGCGCGAGGTCATTTTAGTAAATGCCGTCGTTCGTTCGGGGTGGGGCAACAATCGAACAATTTGCAATATAATCGAAAATCGCTGTTGTGCTGAAATCGCCGAATCGCCGAACATCGGGGGGTATCACTGCTCTCCGCGCGCGCCTGCTCTCGCGCGCAGCTGCTCTCTCTCGCGCGCATTGCTCTCGCGCGCGCCCTGCATTCGCTCGCGCCTGCTCGCGCCCCTGCTCAGATGAGCGCATTGCCGCAGGCAGCCATGATGGAGACGAATCAGATGAGCGCATTTTTTCGGGCAGTACTGGCGCGCACACACCCCTCTCCTTAAAATCCCTGTGTGGTGGCGGCGTGCCGTCCTCCCATCCCTGCTTGCTGTTTTCTTTCTTTCTTTCTGGCGCGCACTGGCACTAACACAGGTACACCACGGGAGCCGCCTAAGCGACTCCTTGCGAGGACGGCGAGGCACTTAGCTCCGTGCCGCACCCGACCGCCCTCGCCGCAGGCAAGCGCATTCACAATCTGCTCTGCGATTGCCGTGTGAAGAACGACCGAGATACGCTGCGCTCTGCAGCCCTAGACAACTCTTGGTGGTCCAAGTCACCTCATCGAGGTAACTGGGCCCGGCGCCCGCGGCAGCTTGTTCTGCGGCACGTTCGCCGCCTTCCAGAGGATCTCGCCGACCCCCTTCCCGAACCCCCACCGAAAAAGGAATTTCAATTTTAACCTTGGGAGCTGCGCGCGGACCCCGATTTCTTTTCCACTCGTCCTCCCGGCCGCCCGCTCGGCGCGTGCGGCGACGCGTGCGCCACGTGAGCCCGCACGAGACCCGAGCCCTGCTCTCTCCCTACCACACGAAGTCGCCCATGCACCTCAGGCCTCAGGCGCCCGCCCGCCCGCCCGGAGGCCGGGGAGCAGCCCCCACGCGTCGCCGCAAACCCGCTCGAATTGGCCGCCTTCCTTCTCGACTGCATTCACTTCCTACATGATACAGATTTTTACAGCACAAAAACTCGCAAAAACAAAAGGCGCGCACACGGACACGCTGCTCGCTGTATACGGGGAGCGGACCCTGAGTTGACCAGGGGTTGTGCGCTGGGTCCTCCTGCTCGGCTCCAGCCAGTAAACAAGTCTTGTCATCAACAGAGTAGAAGGATCTGACCTCGGGGCCGATGTGACCAAGCGCTGGTAGCGTGGTTTAACCTCACACCCATGGTCTCACAGTGTGCCGGCAGTCGCCGAGCAGTGTCGCTCACACAAGCCGCAGCACAAGTGACTGAGGGCCAGTGAGGGCGAGCCCATCGCTGTGACAGCTGTGGCAGCCGCACAGTAGGCTGTGTCAACTGTGCAGAGTGTGTGAGCAGCAGAGGAGCTGTTCTCCAGGCTTCTGTCGCAAAGAGCTGCATGCCACCGAAAGCGCTGTCGAGGTTCGCCGAGCGCGGCGCAGGTTGAGGGAAGCCGTCACCGACGAGCGCGTTGGAGTATTCACTCCGGACAAAGACGGCCGCACGCACACGACCTGCGGTCGTGCGGCCGTCATAGCGGCGAGGCGCGGGACCGTCTGTGGCGAGGTGGGTCGCGTCCCTCGATTTCCTCAACTCAGGGTCCGCTCCCTTTAACACCACAGGCGCCGTCGTGGTTTGATGAAGAATTTCCGAAACAAATAATTCTTTGCCGCCGGCGCTATTAGTATTACACACATACAGAAAATACTCCAAATTCATTTGATGACGGCCGGCGCCTTCCCAAAGAGGCCACGGACGCTCTTGGGCGAGGCGGCGAGGCGGCGCTGCTGGCGTGGCTCGACAGCAGCGGGCGGGTCGGCGCCGGAGGAGGCTCAAGGAGGAGCAGACGACACAGAGGAGGATGGCGACGGCGGAGGACTGCCCAGCGAGAGCAGGCAGGAAACTGCTAGAGGCGATCACCGTTTGCGCACAGTGCCGCTCAGCTTCTCCTCCGAGGCCATCTTTTGCGACAGGATGAGCTCTTGCAGCCGCGCCGTCATCTCCTCCACCTCGCGTTCGCGCGCCTTTTTGAACCGCGGATGCATCGGGAGCGAGGCCGGGGCCAGGCGGCCGTGGCGTGGGGGCATGTATCGCACACGTGTCGTGGGCGCGCCGGAGTGGGAGTGTGTGCGCTGGTGGCGTTGCGCTGGTGGCGCTGCGCAAGGGCGACGCGGCGCCTGCACCGCGTCGCAGAGCGCTGCCGCACGCTCCTCTGCCGCCACAACCTCAACACGCAGCGCCGCCTCGCGCGCTTCGGCCGCTTTCTCGGCCGCCTTTCGCTGCTCGTCATGCGCCGCGACCTCTGTGGCGCACCGCTGCCGCTCCGCCTCCAACGCCGCGGAGACCGCCTTCTCAACCGCGCTCGCCTAGCGCCAGCAACGAAAGTCGGATTCGCACGCGAGGAGCGTCAGCCGACGACGGGTGATCCCTCGCGCCTCCTCCTCGGCGTGCTGCTGCTTGTTGAGCTCGAGATTGATTGAGCGCGCCTCCCCCGCCATCCAGGCGCCGTGCAGCTCTCGCATCCCACTCGTGACGCTCGTGAGCTCATTGTCGGTGGCGTCAGCCACCCACCTGCGGCACTCATCCGCACGCAGGGCGGAGAACCGCAGGATCGCGTGCTCAGAGGATCGGTCCGCGTGCGCCCGGTCATCGCACGCCGTGACGCGTGCCCCAGCCATTGCGCGCTGCGTCTGTTCGGAGAGGCCTTCGTCGAAGGAGGCGAGCACATGGTCCGCGGCTGCCGACAGGTCGTCCATCGTGACCTTGTTTTCGAGGGCAATCATCAAGTGCTATGAAGGGACCGCCCAGCAAGGCGCGCCGCGCCGGCTACGATGGGCGCAAATGTTTTTCTTTGTTTATATCGTCCGAATCCTTTTTTTGTTTTTTGATTGTGTTTCTCCTGCTCCGCCGTAAGGGTTCATTTTTTCTCTTTGCTCAAAGTAAGCGACCAATACATGTCCACCATGTCCATGTCCATGTCCATGTCCATGTCCATGTGTGCACATGACATGTACATGTGCATGTGCAAAGCGACCAATGCGGCCGTCTCATTACAGATACATGTAGAGAGGAGAGAGAGAGAGAGATTTGAAAACCAACACGACTCTCACAGTGATTTGGGCTCGGCAGCGTGTTCTTCTTTTCTACAATGATCAATGCACAATCGATCACACCACCACAAGTAGAGAGAGATGTTTGTCCACAAGTATGATGCTGGGACGATACAGTCGTTGTGGGAAAAAGCTTGATGAACCCATCACTCGGCTGTACAGTAGGAACTGACACTGTAATGCGCGTGACTCTTTTACGACGTCAAACAAGCTCACATTTGCGCACACTCATCTCTCATGGCTCATGCGCAGTGTGTGCACAAGATACTGCAGGTATACGTATGCGCATACATGCGCTCCCATCACAATGTGGGCCACAACCCGCACAGGACAAGCTTTCACCACAAGCATGCTTTCACCAACGTCGAACCACCAGCCCGACGCTCACTACAAGTGAAAGCATCCCTTTCACCAGCACAGGCTTCGCTCATATGAAACAAGATTGTCTGCCTCGCAGGTCATGGTCACTGCCTGCATCGCTGAATGCACTGACTGCAACGCCAACAAGCTTGCAATTGTGGCCGGCGAAGTTGCCTGCGCGTGGTCATCGAATGCACAATAGAGAGGGGAAGACGAAGTTCCACCGCATCAGTGACCGTCCTGCCAAGCTCCCTACGAACTGATCAATATGACCCGGAGCACTACCCAAGCCACACTGCTTATAGAGCTCCGCCTCAATGCTTTCGACAGCAGACAAGGAAAACCCACCACCGTACAGAGCCTCATCATCAGCAATGCCCATCTGTGACAGACTGTTTCGACGGCATTGTTTGATTGTACATATGCTGCGAGGCGCGATGCTACCCATGTGCCATGAAGAGTATGTGCCGAGTTTGATCCATGAAGAAGAATGACGTTTGCGATGCAGGAAGAGCGAGGCCTCTAGTTGCGCACATTCGCGGGTTGTAAAGATGATTCGAGGCCTCCTTAGCATCGCATGTACTAGCCACAGCGAAAAGAAAGAAAGAAAAACACGGGCGGATGGGAGGACGGCCTGCCGCCACCATACAGGGATTTTAATTCTAACGGAGGAAAAGAGAAAATGGCACAACCTTGGTATCGACATACCTAAAACTTTGGTATCGTGAGGAGAAGAGTGTGGTGCGCTAGCCGTCGCCCACCCTTGGGCCTCTGCCTCTTCCTATCTGTCTTCGCAGGCCCTCGCCGATTCTCTCGCTGCAACCTTCATGCCACAGCTGTTGTGTTTCGCCTGCTCCGCTGCCGCAATTTTTTTCTTCCTTGCGGTGTCTGTTTCCTTGCGGGTGTTAATGTAGACCAGCAGGTAGAGAAGATAAAAAAGTGGCGGGTCTAGGAATAAAAAAACATGGAGCGCGAGGTACTCGGCTTTCAATCCCAAACTGTCACTCCCCTTTCTCCCGGCCGGGGTGGGGCGTTCGCGGGGGCGGCATTTCATAAAAAGCTAAAAAAAAAGCGCGCCCTGCAGTGTCCGTATTGGTCGGACAGAATCCTACTTTGTGGCGGCTCGCCGTCCAGAGTGGCGGCTCGCCGGCAAGGCGTCGCGCCAATGGCGCCCACCGCGAAGCAGGAGATCGAGAAGCTTAAGACGGCCATCAAGGCCAAGCGACAGGCGCTGGACGACGGCGGAATGGCCGCGCATCAGGCAAAACGATGAGCCCTCGGAGCTCTCGCTCCGCACAGTCACCAACCCTCTGCCCTACCCATCTGGCAAGCCTGGCGTTCGAATCACCGTGCGTCCGGCACGCTCCTCTCAGGCGCCGGCGATGGGTAAGGTCGCCCTCAAATGCCGCAAGGTGCTCAAGGGCCACTTTGCCAAGATTTATGCGCTGCACTGGGCGCCGACGACAGAGGGCGAGCGGCGGCGCCACCTGGTCTCGGCGTCGCAGGACGGGAAGCTCATCGTGTGGAACGGGTTGACGGCTAACAAGGTGCACGCGATCCCGCTGCGCTCCTCGTGGGTCATGACCTGCGCCTTCTCCCCTTCGGGGGGTCGGATCGCCTGCGGCGGCCTCGACAACACGTGCTCGATCTACAACGTCGCGGCGACGAGCAAAGACCAGCCCATCAAGGTGCAGCGCGAGCTGGCGGGGCACACTGGCTACCTCTCCTGCTGTCGCTTCCTCGACGAGACCACCGTCGTCACCGCCTCGGGAGACATGACGTGCATGCGGTGGGATGTCGAGACGGGGCAGCAGCAGCAGCAGTACGTCGACCACCAAGGCGACGTCATGTCGATCTCAATCGCGCCGCGCCAGGCGAGGCTCTTCGTCTCTGGCGCATGCGACGCCACAGCAAAGCTCTGGGACGTCGCCACGCCAGGCCCCGTGATGACCTTCTCGGGGCACGAGTCGGACATCAACGCCGTCGACTTCTTCCCGGCGGGCAACGTCTTTGGCACCGGCTCGGATGACGCCTCGTGCCGGCTGTACGACCTGCGAGCGTACCGCGAGCTGATGACGTACACGCACGACAAGATCCTATGCGGCATCACCTCGGTCGCCTTCTCCTACTCTGGCCGCTTCCTCTTCGCCGGATACGACGACTTCAACTGCTATGTGTGGGACACCCTGACCGGCAAGCAGATCGGCGTGCTCGCCGGGCACGACAACCGCGTATCCTGCCTCGGCGTCTCGTCCGACGGGCAGGCCCTCTGCACTGGCTCATGGGACTCGACCCTCAAGGTCTGGGCCTAGGGGCGCCCGCAGGCCCGCTCGCTGTTTTTATTGGGGCGCGTGCATGCACTCGATCCTGCGGCCCGTTCGGTCGCGCTCGCGGACGTACGCAAGCCGTGTCACAGAGAAATTTGGGGCCGCGCCCATCGCACACATGTACATGCTTATGTGTCAAGTCCACCCCTGGAGAGTGTCCCCCAGCCTCTGCCAGATTAGCATTACAGAGCTCTGTCCCTGGCTCTGCGGGCAGACTGCACGCGCGGGGCGGGGCGGGGCGGCAGGTGCCGGCAGGGCGAGGGGTCCACAAGATGTGCAGGGCCGGGGCCAAAGGGCGCAGGAAGAAGATGGTGGTGCGGGGGGTGGCGGGGGGGTGGGGGGGGGGGGCACGCACATCCTGGACGAGGACGGTCGCCGCGCGCCCCACAACACCACGGATACGCCCGTCGCCCCCGCACCCCCCCCGGCCCCCGCCACGCCCGGGGCCCCGCAGCCGCGAGCACGGCGCGCGCGCGCGAGCGCGAGTCAGAGCGGCGAGACAGCGCGTGATCGGACCACGGGGACGCCGCTCACACGCGCGGACGCGGATAAAAGGGGAAGCGGTCATACACACATATACGTGTGTGCAAATTAAATATGAAAATACGTGTGGTATCAATTTGTTACTCGCATGCCCGCACAGCCGGCCCGCCGCCGCTCAGCTCCCGCATCGCCTCTCGGCTCGTGCAACCGACGACGCAACCTTTTGGCCACGTCGGGTCCTCGTCGGGCGGCGGCGCCGCCTCTCCAAACGACCACTGGCATTCCTGCGTCTCGAAATTTGGGCTGACGCGCAGAGGGAGGCCGAGCTCGGAGAAGAGCTGCTGCGCGGGCAGCTTGCACGAGTTGAGGCACATTCCTACAGTGCACGATGTCACGCCGGTCTGCAATCGTGGTGACACAGGAGGGGGGCGCGAGCCGGAGAGGCGTGCCCTTGCAGCTCGACTCTTGGAGGAACTTGCACTTCTCAACAACCAGCCCGCCAACCTCGCCGTCGGCGCGACGGTTGAGCGACGCCGGGCCGACCAGGAAACCAAAAGCGTACCTGCGGGGCGAGCCATGAGAGCGTCGCGGACCTGGCGTGTCGCGCAAAGCAAGCGAGGGGAGCTGGTGCGCACGGAGCCACGACGGCCGTCAGCGCCGGCGCGTAGAACCACGGGCCGAGCTGCCGGCCAGGCTCGAGGTAGCTCCTTCCAAACGGCAGCCGGGCGCGCACCCACTGCACGCCGTCAGCCAGCCACTTCGGGTCCGCGCCTACAAAAAAGAAAGCGCCGGCCGAGCTCGGCAAGGGTCCGGCGAGCCGCCAGCCGGGGCCGGGGTCCCCGGGGTCTTGGACCCACACGCGAGTCGCCGGGGTCGTGCCGTGGGACGAGGCCGCCCATGAAGATGCGGTAGAAGGGCGGCAGCACCGGCGTCATGAGCGTGCGCAGCGTGCGCACGAGCACCTGGTGGCGTGTCGAGTGTGTGTGTGTGTGTGTGTGTGTGTGTGTGTGTGTGTGTGTGTGTGTGTGTGTGCGTGCGTGTGTGTGTGTGTGTGTGTGTGTGTGCGTGCGTGCGTGCGTGCGTGGGTGCGTGCGTGCGTGCGTGCGTGCGTGTGCGTGCGTGCGTGCGTGCGTGCGTGCGTGCGTGTGTGTGTGTGTGTGTGTGTGTGTGCGTGCGTGTGCGTGTGTGCGTGTGCGTGTGCGTGTGCGTGTGCGTGTGCGTGTGCGTGTGCGTGTGCGTGTGCGTGTGCGTGCGTGTGCATGTGTGTGTGTGGCGACGAGGTTGTCGCACCTTAGTGAGTGCGAGGAAGGGTGCGAGAGATGCCGTGCGCGTGTGCTGGAGGCCTTCTGCAGCGATGCACCTCCTGCTGCGACGAAGCCGCCACCCCCTCCGCCGACAACATGAAGCGGCGCATCTCGTCGATCAGCCCGCGGATGCTCCTCTCTGGGTTGCGGCTCACCCCAGTCTCGCCCGCCTAATCAATCCATTACGTGTGAATGGACCAATCAACCAGGCGGAGTGGGGGAGGGCGGAGGCCGATGAGGGCGATACCCGTGCAAGCAGCGCGATCCCGGCTAGATCTCGGCGCGATCTCGGACGGCACCCATGCAGCAGCGCGATCTCGGGCTAGATCTCGGCTAGATCTCGGGCTAGATCTCGGCTAGATCGTGCGTAGATGTTGCGCGTCGTCTCGAGCAGCACCGCCTAAGGTGAGGTCAGGTCAGACGTCAGGTACTCTCCACACACGAGGTGGTGGGGCAAGGGCCTGGCAGCCCTCGCGACTCCACGTCCAGATAGACAGGAGCCCCACGGCATTGAATGTCCAGGATTTTGCGCGTGGGTGAGCGAGGTGGGTGAGCGGGGTGTGTGTGTGTGTGTGTGTGTGTGTGTGTGTGTGTGTGTGTGTGTGTGTGTGTGTGTGTGTGTGTGTGTGTGTGTGTGCCAAAATAGATTTACGGGAACTGTGCGCCTCGAGCGGATTCTCGCCCATCGGCACGTCCTCCAGTGCGCAGTCCGGCACCAGCCCCTCCGCGTTAAGACCTTCCACCAGCGGCTCGCCTAAGGCGAAGCTTTTCTCAAAGTGTGGCGACGTTGTTGCGGGAAGAGGCGTCCCCCGCAACTCGATGGCCGCTCGCCGCTGCCGCTGTCGCGGCGTCGCGGGTCCGGGTCGCACGCGCGCAGCGGGACACCTTGCCGGTTGGGGAGCTCGTCCCGCGGAATCTTGAGGAAGGAGACTGTCTCCACATACTTGTCTCTGTCTTCCCGCAGTAGCGCCACGAGCAGCCACGCGCGCCGCTGCCGCTTGAGCGCATCGGCGAGCCGCGGCATGACGCCGCCAGCGTCGTCGATGGCGGCCGGCCTGGGGTAGTCGATCGCGTCCGTCAGCTGCGCCACCGCGAGCGGGGTAGGCTCGAGCGCGAGGAGCTGCTGCGCAAGCTGCAGCAGCTCAACCGCGCTCCTCGGCTGCTGGCCGAGGGTGAGCGCGAGCGCGACGCTGCAGCGGGGCTGCGGGGCGGCACGAGATTCGGCCGGCGGCCGCGCGAGCTGCGGCGAGAGGAAGGAAGCGCACACAGCGAGGGTGGGGAGCATCGACAC